GTGGGAGGAGGGAGAGAGACTGCAGTCATCTCCATTTTTCTTTCCACATGTTGGCAGGGCAACCTGAAAGACGCCCAGCAGGCAGAGCTGGGTTGCTCTCCTGTGGTGAATGCACTGTGTAGTCTAGCTTTATTTGATCAAACCCCTCCTAAAGAAAATAATCAAGTAATCCTTTAAGAAGAAACGCAAGAAAGCAGCAACAGAAGTCAGTCTGTATGGGATGCAAAATAAAGGTCAAACCTTTACTGCATCTCTCAAGATTTTAGAACAATAATAATCACAAAGCCTTCCCCTACTTGTGTGACAAAGGTCTTCAGCAATTCTACTAAAAACATTTTAAATTTTCCAGTAGGAAGATACATTGACCTTAGGTATGACTGTATAGATTTTTCAAGGCAAACAGTCATTATCACAATGAGCTGAACAAAAGATAATCCAGTTAAATAATGAAAGCAGAGGATTGCTTTAAATGGGTTTTTAAGTCCATTGTTCGGCTGTTAAAGGACTGTGCATGCACTAAAAACTCAGTTGCCTAACATCATTTTTACACATCAGCACATAAAATAAAATGTATGCAGCCTGTTCTCCCAATAATGCTATTAGCTATAGTGCCAATTCAGATGAAGATCTATTTAGGAACAGTCTACAAATAAGGATGGGAGATTTGTATGGACAGTGTATACTCTGTCCACAGGGTGTGCCTGTTCTGTTTCTAGGCCCACTGGAAGACACCCCTCCCGGGGGGGGGGGTGTCGTTGTACCAGCCATTTTGGGAGGCCAGCACAGTGATTGGTGATTGGAAGCTATGCCCTTCCTGTGGCTCCCAACCAATCAGGGGGGCCCCCATAATCTCACGAGATTGCATAATCTCATGAGATGTAGGGGAGAGATTTGGGGCCTATATAAGGCCATACGCCATGTGGTTCCAGCCATTGCGAGCTGCGCAGCCGAGAGAGGATGACCTGCCGCTCCACCTCTCTCTTTCTGGTGGTAGCTGAGGGTCTTCCTGTCTCTGTGGGCCTGGGCCTTTCAGGTAAGGTGTTGGGGTGGGGTGGGGTGGGGTGGGGTGGGGTGTGCAATGCAGTCATAATTTCAATGTTTGAACCAGGCCATAGCTTCAATAAGCATAACTGATCCTTGGTTTTTTTCACTGGTTCATGATCATGTTGTCACATGCCTTCCCTGCATCAATGTCCCGCAAGTCCACAGGTGGGACAGTTGCAGGCAAAGGAAGACACATTGAGATGTGCAGAGCTTATCTTGTTGTACAGAATGACTTTTTAAAGAAATTTACACAGATTTGCATGCATGGAGAAACTACAGAAGGGAAACCACAGAAACATTAGTGGTCATGCAAAACTGAAGGATAAATTATTAGCATTAGTTTCACTCATACTGTATGGAGAAGAAAAATCTTTTGGGATACATTTTAAAAAATGCTTTTAGCGAAGATGGTGGCTACAGTAAATGGAAAAACACCCTTGATCCAGGACCTGATCTTGGCTGAGCATGCCATCCTGGCTTGCATTATGGAGACCTGGCTGGATGAATCTCTTTCTCTGTTAACATCTCCCAGCTTTGTCTACCTGGGGTCTCCATGACTAGGAGGCAGAGTTGCAATAGTCTATCAGGGTCCATCTCACCTCACCAGGTGCCCTATCCCATATTCTGCTGGGTTTGAATGTGTCTACTTAAATGTGGACAGCCAGAATACAATAGGGATTCTGTTGGTGTACTGTCCCACCATGATGCTCTCCCTTCCAGAGTTAGCTGAGTTGGTCTCATCGGTGGTGTTGGGAGTCTTCTCGGCTAGTAGTGCTGGGGGACTTCAACGCCCATGCTGAGACCTTTCTGTCAGGAGCAGCTCAGGACTTCATGTCCTCTATGACAACCATGGGTCTCTCCCAAGTGTTATTTGGCACCACTCATGTTGTAGGATATACTCTGGGCCTAGTTTTGTGTGTAGGGTGGGATGATGGTTGTGAAGGAACCTTCCATAGTTATGTTGTCATGGATATTTTTATTCCAGCAGGCTTTTGAATTTTAATTATGGAACAGTAATGTGCATGTGTAAAGTGGTTTGCTGTATTTTTATTTTTTTCCTGGAAATTATGTTCCAAATATGTTTTAACTTTAAAAAAAAATCATGTTTTAAAAATAATACTGTTGTTTAATTCTTTTTGTAAAAATTTGTAAACTAATGTTTTACCTTTTTTTTAATATATATATACGTACCGGTATATTGAAAGTCACCTTGAATCCCAGCTTGGGCAAAAGGTGGGATATAAATTCAACAAATAAATAAATATTAAAATAATATTTTATTATTAAAATTAAATTTTATTATGCTCCTTGTCAGTGGTGCAAATGTAGTTACATAAAGAGATTGTGATTGCACAAACATAGAAGAATACCAGAGAAGTATGCATGATTGCAATCACTATGACTTAGCCCCAAGAACAGCACACATTGTATCCTTTGCAGCACCAAGCAATGTGTGTTGCTGCACAGCTAAGGCATAGAAATTGGGAAATATTTGTGGCTATAATTGATGCTCACTTTCTTAACCAGTTTAATGCAAAAGACTCACACAGAGATAAATCTCTCCCTGACTTGAAAAAGGAAGGCTGTGAACCAAAGCATTATGGAAAAAACCAAATACAATTTCCCCAAAGAAAGAAATGGCATTTGGCACACAAAACAAAAAAAGTATGCAGCCTCAGAGCTGAAAAGAAATTTGCTCAGGAAACATTATTAATGTAGAAGAAAAAGAATTATATTTGAAGACTGTGTAATTGTTATTTTAGCTTATTAACATAGGAGCAGAGCAGTACAGGAAATCCACATGACTAACCTAACTTTCATTTTTCAAATATTCTCCTTTATATTTATAAATTTGATTGGAAAACAAACCATGTCAAACATAACCTTCAATACTCTGGCAATGAATATAAACTACTATGTGAAGTGCCCTATTCCCAGCAATTATTTTTATGTTAGCTTGAGATGAAAGCCGTCTTGATTTTAAAAAAAAAAAAAAAAAAAAATTCCGATAGGTTTTGTGTAGACATGACATTTTATGGAAGGGATAAAAGTTGGTGATGTCTGTAAGAGATATTATGTGATAAAATGTTAGGCATGATCCAGCCTCTCTTCACAGCATCCTTCATTTATCTTGTGTCTACTGACCCAGCACACAAGGTATTTCTGCTGTTCTATCTGTCAGCATCTCTCAAAGAACAGTTGCATGTGCCTAACAGCATGAATAAAGGGCCAACCCGATTCACTTTTTAAAAGAATAAAGAAAATTGGTTTAACCACATCAGTTTGTTGAAAGGTCTGACTCTGCAGGTGACTAAGCTGGCACCTTAATATCTGAGTCATAGCACTGCAATGGCTATGTGTGGTATTGTTGTTGTTGCTGCTGTTGCTGTATCAAGTCATTTCCAACTAATGATGATCCTAATATGAACCTAACATGGGGCTTTCTAGGGCTGAGAGTGTGTGACCTGCCTAAGGCCAACTAGTGGGTTTCCATGG